GAATCGAACCTGGGACCCTTCAGTCCGCAGGCCGGCGCTCTATCCACTGAGCCAAACCGGTTTCGGCTGGACAAGCTTTTAAAACAAAACAATACTTCTAGACACATTGAAGTGAAATATTAGGACATCAAAGATAAAGAGAAGCCCTGGCACATGCGGCTCAATTGGTTGGGAGTTGAAAGGTTGCTCATTCCATTCCGGTCAGGGCACATACCTGGTTGTGGGCTCGATCCCGGGGAGAGGCCATGCTGGAGGCAGCTGATGCATGTTTCTTTCTGACATCTATGTTTTTCTCTCTCTAGCCCTCTACCTTCCTCTCTCTCTCTAAAAAAAACAACAAAATACAAAAAAACACCAACAAAAAGAGAACATTTTAAAGCGACCTAAGAACAAGGACATGATCTGTGAAGTAATGACAACCGGGCTGAGAGCAGACTTCTTATCAGCCACGGCACAATTTCTTGTCAGGAATGGGACAATATTTTGAAAATATTGAAGGAAAGGAAGAAAGAATCCTTTCAACCTAAAATTCTATACCCAGAAAAACTATTCGCAAAGACAAAATAAGACTGTTTTTAGACATAAGGAAAATGAAGGGAGTGGTGTACTACTTACACAGTCTCCCTGAAAGAATTACTGACGGGTGTGCATCAGCCAGAAGAAAAGAGAAACCAAAAGAAAAGATGCAATTATAAAGTGACAAGAAATAGGCAAACTACGTTGATAAAATTAATTACTGATTGGAAAGAATTCCTTTATTTGTGTGTGTTTAAAGAGGCTTGAGCTAAATTTATAAACAAAAGGGCAGTGGGATGAGAAGGGTTCAGTAGTTACTGTTTACCCTTCTCAAGAGAGAGATATCAAATAAGTTTAGAGTTTGTTGGGCAAGTATATAAATATGTGTATTAGAAGTTATAGAAATACAATCTATAGCAGAGTGACAAAAAGTATTTAAAAAACTCTATTAAACTGAAGACAGGAAAGGAGAAAAAAAGGAAAAAAAACCCCACCATAAAACATAGGGTAATAGAAAACACCAAATCATAAAAGTCAAAATACATTAGTAATCACAATAAGTATAAATAGTTTAAAATAGCCTAGGAAAATACCAGACGGAACCAAAAACACAGCTATATTCTGCTTGTAAAAGACATACCTAAAGAAAAACAATGCGAAAAGATTTAAGATGAAGAAATGGAAAAAGATATGCTGGGAAAATACCCACCAAGAAAGGAGGCATAACAATATTAATATCAGACAAGATAGAATTTCAGGAAAAAAGCATTAGTAGGGTAAGAGGAGCACTCCTTGGTAACTTGGGAGCACCTCTTCCCACTCTTGATGTTTCCTGTGGTGTGGAGGGAGCACTTGGTGCAACACCGCTGGCTCTCTCCGCCCTCTGTTAGGTGCATTTGGGGGCAAGAACTTGACACATGCAGCTGTGTTCTTCCCCTTTCCCTCTTGGAGCTAGCTGCCATCAGGGCTTCCCTCTGCCCCGCTAGACTGCAAGTCCCCTCTGGGTAGACCCCATGCGAGGAGGCTTGCCCCTGCCCAGCACTGGCTGTGACTGGGTGGGTAATTCTGGAGTTCAGTGAGAAGATTCATTTCATCTTCACTCTAACCTGCGTGCCTCCTCGTGGCCTTGACCAATAACAAAGGAGTTATTTTGACTTCCAAATGCCTTACTCTTCATTTTTTGTTTGTTTCTGAATGTGTTCATAACCTGGGCAAGGAAAGATGCCCTTTGCGGGAGCCTCAGGGTCCTCAGCCTACGTGATGATAAAGAGAACAGTCCACCCAGAAGATCTAACAGTCTGGAACGTGTAAACCCGTACTTAGTAACTTAGTCTTGAATTTAGAAAGCCCAAAACTGTTAGGAATATAAGGAGAAGTAGACAAATCCTCGGTTATGATGGGAGATTTCAGTAACATCTCTCATATACCGATGGACAAGCAGACAAAAAATTGTGAGGATATAGAAGATTTGAACAATACAATGAACAAATTTGATCTCATAACATACTTTCCTGAACTCAACAAAAGAAAAATGTACATTCTTTTCAAATCCACATAAAACGTGAAAAAAGTCCATGAATTAAGTCAATACATTTCAAATAATATCATACAGATTATGTTCCATGAATATAAAAAATTTAGAAATCAACAATTAGAATACCGAAGGAAAAGAAAGTCATACATTTGGAGAGTTAAGAAAAAATCCTTTTAAATAACTCATGGGCTAAAGGGGAAATCACAAAAGAACTGACAAAATATTTAGACCTAAATGACAATGAAAATACTACTTATCAATGTGTGGGATGCAAAAAAAAAAAAAAGTAGAGAAAGATGTATAGTTTTAAATGCATTCATGAAAACGAAGAAAGATTAAATGTGTAAGTGTGTGGGTCAAGAAGTTAGAAAAAGAATAGGGAAAAAAACCCCCAAAGAAAACAGAAGGAAGGAAATATAGAAAAGAACAAGCTAGCAGAGTAGAAATTAAAAATAACAAAGAAATAGAGACAATCAACAAAACTGAAAGCTATCTACCTGAAAAGATGAATAGACAACCCCCTAGGGAGGGCTGAGGAAGGAAAACAGAAAATACACAGATGGTATTACAGCCATGAAGGAAGGGACTCAACTGCAAATAGAGATGAAGGGCTAAGAGAACCCCAAACAACTTTATACCAATGCATTTGAGGATAATTTTATAGAAAAATATAAATGACCAAAATTGATCCAATAAGGAATGGAAAACCTAAATATTCACCATTAAATTATGGAATTGGTAGCCCAGGGATCCTCCCACAAAAAAAGAGGCCCAGGGATTTCACAGATGATTTCTAGCAAACCTTTAAGAATCAGAAAATCCCTGTGGTATACAAACTTTCACATGATGAGAAGGTCTCCATAAACTTTATGAGGCTGGAATAACACCCTGATATCAAAACCTGACAAGGGAAGCACAAGAAAAAAAAAATAGGCCAGTGTTGCTATTGAACATAGATGTGAAACTCTAAATAAAACATTAGCAAATTAAATTTAGCTTGATATGAAAAAATAATACGTACGCAAGTGGAATTTTACCCTTGGAATGAAAAGATGGCTCAACAGAAATGTAATCCACTAGGTTTTGCAGATTAAAAACCCTATAATTATCTCAGCAGATGCAGAAAAGCATTCAGTAGGATTCAACACACTCATAATGTGCTAAATGAATTGGGAACAGGATAAATTTAGAGTCTTATGGTAAATCCCTTTAGAAAGCAACTTTCATCCCATTTATATTTTGAGTAAATCCAGATTTTCAGATATTAGTTTCTTTTTATAAAGGTTTAGTTGCATGTGAGAACCTAAATATATATAGAAGCTGTGCCCAGTGCTCTGGGAGAACACAAAAAACCCACAAAGAGACCAAAAAAATCATGGGGAACTTGAAGGTGACGATTTGGCTTTTCCCATATTTTGGTTTTGTGTTTTTTATTTTATTTTTATTTTTTATTTTTTAAAAAAAATATATTTTATTGATTTTTTACAGAGAGGAGAGGAGAGGGATAGAGAGTTAGAAACATCAATGAGAGAGAAACATCGATCAGCTGCCTCCTGCACACCCCCTACTGGGGATGTGCCCGCAACCAAAGTACATGCCCTTGACTGGAATCGAACCTGGGACCTTTCAGTCCGCAGGCCAACGCTCTATCCACTGAGCCAAACCGGTCAGGGCCATATTTTGGTTTTGGACAGCTTTACCAGGCAGGTCCTTTAAGTGTCCGTCCTCCATGC